ACACACACACACATACACACACACACACACACACAGAGAGAGAGATTAAACTCATTCACTCGCTCCTGTAATCAAATCTAACAGTATATGAGCTACTGGTACACCACAAGAAAGAAAAACCACAAATCACATCTCATTAATATCTTGTAAATATCTAATTAATTTCCATTATTCACAAGATTAAATGGAGACATCCAAGATCAGCTGCTCTCTACATTCATTTTATTTTCAAGAATGAATTCATCAGTGTTTTAATGATAAATTAGTAAATTACTGAATTGTTAAAGTTTTATGAATAATTTGATTACCAACGTTTTTGATAATACATTTTTATTAAATTATAATGCATAGAATTCGAGTGTGTCCTCGCTGCAGCCTGTAGCACGATGACGTAGCTGGATCAGATCCAATACGTATTGGATGTTTGACGAGCATGCGCAGGTATTGGATTGTAATGCGCATGTGCAAAGTGGGGCTGTCATTAGCTAGTATTTAATGTAAATTAAACTGTAATTAGGCTATTACGAGATATAGGTGTGTTTCATAGGCTTACACAAATTATATTATACTGTGATTTTAAACTAGTAGTGTATTCAAACTTTATTTAAGCAACGATGGCGTAGTTTTGAATGAAAGGGTATGTAAGCTATGTTTATTTTTTATTAGTTTGATTCATTTTAGAAATAAAACTCTACTAATTACAATTTTGTTTGTTCTTTATGAAAAAAATGGGGTGTAACTGTTGTCTTTATTTTTTCCTCTGATAGTCAGATAGTTAGATAGTTCTGTCAAAAATTTGTTCATGAATCAAATATTATTTTTCATTCTCACTCTCTGTGCTATACGTGACAGAGTATAAAAAATGTTATAGGCCTACTAAAATATGCGGACATAATTTTTATACCATATAAAAATAAAAAGAAGAAAAACAATCCTGTCAGTCGGGGTTCCCTAAAGCTGATAGATCCGTTATCCCGGGTTATACCGGGTTTTTACAGTTAATCCCATGTCCAGCAAATAAATACACACA